ATCCCAACATATTGGGGATCTACATTTCCTTCCGCGTAATCCCTCAAATGATGCCATCCCGATTCTCGCTTGATAGTTGTTGTTATAGGAGAACTCCACCAAATACAAGTAGTCCTCGCATGAACCCCTAAAGTCCAACATGCAAGCCCTCAACATGTCTTCAAGAATTTGAAGCGTCCTCTCAGATTGACCATCTGTCTGGAGATGATATGCAATGCTAAACGTCAACCTGGTGCACTCATGCAGACTCTTCCAAGTGAGAGAGAAATCCTATACGTATTTTTCTGCCAATGACTCCATGAGCTATCCAGCCGAAATGGTATAAAATGAGCCGCTTTTGTGAGGCGATCTACAATAACCCAAATAGCATTGTTCCCCTTCGGAGGACTCCGTGGAAGGGCTGTGACAATTTCTATTCGGGAATGGGTAATGGTTGTAATAAACCTGTTGTTCTCTGGTGTTCAGTCTTAACTTGTTGACAAATCGAACACGTCGGCGGAGCACAGGATGGAGAGTGAAGCGAGTCGGAAGAACGAAGAATCAAAGCATGATACAGGTGTATCTTCTCTTTGGAACTTAGCGATCCTCATGAGAGCTTGAGGATAGATGATTCTCATGATAGCATGAGAATAGAGGTTTCAATTAGTACCGTGGAACGCAGGTGGAAGGTGGAACGAGACGACGAGCAGCAGATTCGAAGAATCCAGTTTTTAGCTCGTGAGTCGACTCATACATGTACATGAGTCGACTCATCAGGTTGAGTCGACTCATGACTGTCATGAGTCGACTCACGAAACCCAGCCGTTTTGTCAAAAGTCTCTGACCAGTCGACTCATCAGTTATGAATCAACTCATATGAGATCATGAGTCGACTCATAACTGTTATTTAGTCGAATCATCGAAGGTTTCCTGGTTCGTTTGGGTTTCTTTTTGCACGAATTCCTGTTAGGGTTTGGTCTGGTTATTTACCAGATTGTCATCCACGTTTGTACACCTATATAAAGGGTTGTTTAGGGTTTCTAAACATCTTCTTAGAAAGCTTCTTAGAATCAGAAAAAGAGGAGAGGCCAAGATGTAGATCTAAAGGGTTTTAGGTCTAAGTGAGATCCTAACCAAAAAGATTAGGGTTTAGATTGTGAGGATCTATGAGATCTTAGATCAGAGAGATTCTAATTATTGTATTAGGTTTAGAGAGGATTGAGAGGTTGTTCTCGATTCTAGTGAGATTGTGAGGGAGAGATTTGTAATAATTGATTCTTCATAATCTAGAGAAGGTATTTTCCTTCGCCAAACTGAACTGTTCTTGTGTTTTAGTCGTCTTCTTCTCAACCCACCTTTTGGTAATTCCGCGATCAAAGGGTACTCGTACGGCGACTCGTATCAAGTTGGTATCAGAGCGATCAGATCCTACGAAGGGGTATCCTGTGTATGGTCCTGACTCGATCGTAATACAAGAAGCTAGACGAGATCCTTTTTCTTTGGAAGGAGTTAAGAGATTAAGGAAGAAGAAGATGATTAAAGGCCACAAAGATGGAGGGGCCCAAGAGTTCCCTCAGCAGAAGTTCTAAACTTGAAAGGGACTTCAAGTTCTTAAAGAGGGGAGCCATGATACGTGTGTATCTTCTTCTCTGTTTCGGAAGCTTAGTGATCCTCATGGGAGCTTGAGGATAGGTGATTCTCATGATATCTTGAGAATAGTGGTGTGAAGCGATACGGCGGAGCACAGGATGGAGCATGAAGCGAGTCGGAAGAACGAAGAATCAAAGCATGATACAGGTGTATCTTCTCTTCGGAACTTAGCGATCCTCATGGGAGATTGAGGATAGATGATTCTCATGATAGCATGAGAATAGAGGTGTCAATCAGTACCGTTGAACGCAGGTGGAAGCGTGGAACGAGACGACGAGCAACAGATTCGAAGAATCCAATTTTTAGCTCGTGAGTCGACTCATACATGTACATGAGTCGACTCATCAGGTTGAGTCAACTCATGACTGTCATGAGTCGACTCACGAAACCCAGCCGTTTTGTCAAAAGTCTCTGACCAATCGACCCATCAGTTATGAGTCGACTCATATGAGATCATGAGTCAACTCATAACTGTTCATTAGTCGACTCATCGAAGGTTTCCTGGTTCGTTTGGGTTTCTGTTTGCACGAATTCTTGTTAGGGTTTGGTCTGGTTATTTACCAGATTGCCATCCATGTTTGTACACCTATATAAAGGGTTATTTAGGGTTTCTAAACATCTTCTTAGAAAGCTTCTTAGAATCAGAAAAGGAGGAGAGGCCAAGATGTAGATCTAAAGGGTTTTAGGTCTAAGTGAGATCCTAACTAAAAAGATTAGGGTTTAGATTGTGAGGATCTATGAGATCTTAGATCAGAGAGAGATTCTAATCATTGTATTAGGTTTAGAGAGGATTGAGAGGTTGTTCTCGATTCTAGTGAGATTGTGAGGGAGAGATTTGTAATAATTGATTCTTCATAATCTAGAGAAGGTATTTTCCTTCGCCAAACTGAACTGTTCTTGTGTTTTAGTCGTCTTCTTCTCAACCCACCTTTTGGTAATTCCGCGACCAAAGGGTGCTCGCACGGTGACTCGTATCAAGTTGGTATCAGAACGATCAGATCCTACGAAGGGGTATCCTGTGTATGGTCCTGACTCGATCGCAATACAAGAAGCTAGGCGAGATCCTTTTTCTTTGGAAGGAGTTCAGAGATTAAGGAAGAAGAAGATGATTAAAGGCCACAAAGATGGAGGGGCCCGAGAGTTCCCTCAGCAGAAGTTCTAAACTTGAAAGAGACTTCAAGTTCTTAAAGAGGGGAGCCACGATACGTGTGTATCTTCTTCTCTGCTTCGGGAGCTTAGTGATCCTCATGGGACCTTGAGGATAGATGATTCTCATGATATCTTGAGAATAGTGGTGTGAAGCGGTACGGCGGAGCACAGGATGGAGCGTGAAGCGAGTCGGAAGAACGAAGAATCAAATCATGATACGGGTGTATCTTCTCTTCGGAACTTAGTGATCCTCATGGGAGCTTGAGGACATATGATTCTCATGATATCATGAGAATAGAGATGTCAATCAGTACCGTGGAACGCAGGTGGAAGCGTGGAACGAGACGACGAGCAGCAGATTCGAAGAATCCAATTTTCAGCTCGTGAGTCGACTCATACATGTACATGAGTCGACTCATCAGGTTGAGTCGACTCATGACTGTCATGAGTCGACTCACGAAACCCAGTCGTTTTGTCAAAAGTCTCTGACCAGTCGACTCATCAGTTATGAGTCGACTCATATGAGATTATGAGTCGACTCATAACTGTTCATTAGTCGACTCATCGAAGGTTTCCTAGTTCGTTTGGGTTTCTGTTTGCATGAATTCCTGTTAGGGCTTAGTCTGGTTATTTACCAGATTACCATCCATATTTGTACACCTATATAAAGGGTTGTTTAGGGTTTCTAAACATCTTCTTAGAAAGCTTCTTAGAATCAGAAAAAGAGGAGAGGCCAAGATGTAGATCTAAAGTTCTAAACATCTTCTTAGAAAGCTTCTTAGAATCAGAAAAAGAGGAGAGGCCAAGATGTAGATCTAAAGAGTTTTAGGTCTAAGTGAGATCCTAACCAAAAGGATTAGGGTTTAGATTGTGAGGATCTATGAGATCTTAGATCAGAGAGAGATTCTAATCATTGTATTAGGGTTTAGAGAGGATTGAGAGGTTGTTCTCGATTCTAGTGAGATTGTGAGGGAGAGATTTGTAATAATTGTAATAATTGATTCTTCATAATCTAGAGAAGGTATTTTCCTTCGCCAAACTGAACTGTTCTTGTGTTTTAATCGTCTTCTTCTCAACCCACCTTTTGGTAATTCCGCGACCAAAGGGTGCTCGCACGGCGACTCGTATCATCGCCACATATCCAGCTATTTCTCTCTTCATCCCATTCGACCAAAAATATTGTTTCAAGTCTTTGTGCATCTTGCTGCCTCCTGGATGTATAGAATACACCGAGTCATGAGCTTCTGCCAACACCTCCTGCCTAACTTCCCCTTCTGGCACACATAATCCAGGACCGAATTGAAGTGACCCATCTAAATGCACAACTAAATCTGTCCTCAATCCGGCCTCTTCTCGCTCTCTGAACTTTTGAAGCTGCTCACCCCCTGCCTGTGCCTCCTTTATCCTGTCCACTAATGATGACTGACTCTGCAATTGCAAGAGTTGTCATGCCATCCCATGTAAAACCAACTCTACGCTCATTCTCCTCATATTCTCCATAATCTCTTTGCACAGTTAGTATCATGGCTTCTGGTTTCCTGCTTACGGCATCTGGAACCAACATTAGCTTTACCATGATGGTATTGCAAAGTCTATGTACAAACTTCCTATAGAGTCCAGCCAATCTCAAAAAGCTCCTCATTTCAGCTATTGTCTTTGGCATTGGCCGCCCCAGTACCGCCTCAATCTTCTTTAGGTCTACGGCTACACCGTCTATTAAGATAATGCATCCTAGGAGCGATACACTCTCCAACCAGAACTCACACTTACTGAGTTTCCCAAATAGTTTCTCCCACCTTTAAACCTGTAGCACCATCCTCAGATGTTCTACATGCTCCTCGTAATAGAAGGCGCTAAAATGTAACTTTTAGAAACTTTATAGTATATTAGTACTGAAAAAACAAGAGAGGTACACAAGTGCAAGCTTAGAGGAAACCACTGGATATGTAAGTGCCAACCAGCCTCTTTTGCTGCACCAGCAAGAAGACAGCTGGCCTCGATGCAACATAATAGAGAATCCAATAGAATCCATCTCTTCGCAAAAACCATAAATTGCAAAACGAAACGTCCAACCGATTTACTCACTGAATACATATTTAGAAGGTACCACACATACACTACTGTGTTTTCCCTTAAGCACAAGCATAATAACAATCACCAAGAACCATGTATAAATAACTTCCTTCCGTGCTTAGCAAGCATAATAACAACCAAGAACCATGTGAATAATAACTTCCTTTCATACTCAACAAAATACAACTATATCTGCCCAAAGCACAATTTGAAAAAAGGAGCGTACCAATCACCAATACAATATTCACGAAGAATATCTAGTTTCTACCAACGTAGCCTTCGTTCTTTCTTTTTACAACCCTGAATCATATACATGCTAAAAGAACAAGTCCCTATCACATATTTTCGCAAACATGTTTTTGCACCACCAATATGTACAAATCGTATTTGCCTCATTTCACCACTTGCTCTTGAAGAAGTCAAGACCCCAGCGGTAAGCCAACCCTTCGATGGTGTGACTAGATGAATTCTTTTGCAGGACTTGTATCAAATTCTTGTTGGCCTGAGCTCTGAGCATGGTCAGATTCTTTCGTAGTTGACGATGATTCCAATTTGGAGCTTGTTGAAATGGTGTTGCCTTCAGCCTCTGATGTCGGTCCGTTAAATTCTGACACAGAATCTCCTGTACCATTTGATGATGAAAGATTTGGAGTTGTGTCTAATATAGACTGCATGTCCTCTTGAGGATGCCTCAGCTCCATGTCTCTCAAGGACTCCATCATTGCTTCCATGATCATCTACATCCCAAAGTGAAATAAACATCATCATCATGGTGATTAACAAACTAGAACGTCACCAAGCCCCTTTTTTCCTATCCAGATGGAAGCCAGAAAGGGACAATTCAACCTTGAAACTATTAAACTAACAGAGTTCTCAAGAAATGGTAAGACAGAAAAGTATTACGAGGGGTTACTGATTCTCTAATCTGCCCATCAACTTTTCAGCTAATAAATGGATCCACGCCATAAAATAGCAGTTAAATTGCGTCCTTAGGAACAATATGCTCTATGCGACAACGCAATGTAATTACAGGTTAGACATATCTCTATGGAAGGATAACATACTTTTCATGACATTTAGACTCATGCAACCAGTTGGCAATTTTCAGAATCTGCCATAGTAGGCAGAATCTGATAAGGGGAAATGACAAGACCAATGATAATTGCATCTGANGGGGGGGGGGAGGAGATGGGAGAGAAAGAGGAAAAAACATTGTTTCTCATCCGCCATTCTATGTTCATGTTCTTGAACAAAATTAAAATTAACTTTTTTGCATTTTGGAGCATCAAACTGTCAAAGAGAAGTTTTAGAGTATCAAAGTAAAGAGTTTGATACAACTTGGGGGTGTGGAAGTACAAACAACCCATAATCTAAATGAAAATTTAAGGTCCCATCGACCATGACTATTGGTATCTGACTGACTTAATTTCACATGTTTGCATTTTTGGTTATAAAACTGTCAAAGTAGTATCAAAGTTAAAAAAAGGTCATACAAGTTAGGGGTGTGCAAGTACAAAGAACCCATAATTTGGATGAAAAAGTTATGGTCCCGTGACTATTAGAATCCAACTGTCTTAATTTAACTTGCGATCCTAAAGCTAGAAAGGGACTATTCAACCAATTAATATTTCAATCAGCAGAAAGCCAGAAACCTATATTGTTGGCTACTAAAAAAATCAGCAGTTAGTCATAGATAGAGTACTTATAGTTGCTGATTAGCACCATGGATAGTGAAGATTCTCTGTATGGTTATCCAATGGATAATGGAGAAACCGGAGCGTTGTTCAGCTATAAATGTCCATCTTTTTTCTGTGGATTACCAAATATAGTTTTCAATTACTGCAGACCTATATACATAGCTCAAAAAGATTAAATGCATTAAGAAGACACGATGTGGTCTTTAATATGTATTAGTTGGCTTAAAAATTCTCGAGCTTGAAAAATATGCTACAAACAGACCTAGTTAACTGTTTTTTCCCTATACTGTTTATCATCCTTCTTTAACAGGAGTAGATACCTGTAACTATAATTTATAAATGCAACCTTACCATAGACAGTACATAACACTAAGGGCAACATGGAAACACATACAAACAGTATGACACTACAACCAAGAAGCACCACGATTTACACTATTGACGACAGATTTTATCATTTTGGTTAGTTTTTGTATTATCAATCAAGAAGAAGAAGGTAACATTAAAAAAAATTTGGTACCTCGAGTGTGTTTTTAGCTTTTACTATAAAATTTATGACACAGATAGCATATCGTCAAGTTTTGCATGTTATACTGATGTACTTGATTCACAAATTACAACCTAACAAGCAGTAGCAACATATACTTATATTAACTTGGATATTATATAAGGTTTTATATGAACAAAATGCAATGCTCAACTAGTAGTATCCGACAGACCTACCCTTTCTTTGTCTTCCAGGCTGGAACATATATCTGAGAAATTATCAAGAGAACACATCACGTATTCGTCATCAACAACACTCTGCAAATGACCATTGCTGGGGAGGGCATCAATGAGTAACATAGAGGATGACATACCATCTGCTCCATTTCCCTGCAGTAATAAGAGAAAACGGGAACATTATTTGAAGCTTTCAATCATTTCATTAAACACCTAAAGTACACTGCATTAGATATGTGATCTGCTGGCAGAACAATTTCTGAAGCTTTTAATCGTCATTAAAATACCTAAAGCACACTGGATTAGATATGTCGAAGGCTGCGTCACATCTTGTCCAAAAACCACCTATAGCAACAATGCTTCATGCAACATTACCACCAGAGTTTGTACTAACTTGGTTCCTTTGCGGCTTTATTTAATGAAACAAAGACTAGATAGGTGAACTGTAATCCCATGTGTTCATATCATTTAACCATGCATAAAGCCAAATATGCAATTGTCAGAAGATATCACATTTGGATATTTAATGAAGCCACATTTCAGCCATCTTCTCCTGTGCATATATTTTTCCCAACGAAAAACATTATGGAATTTTGATGTAGTGGGTTTGCAATTTTTTTCTCTCAATTTCTCCTTGGCTCCAAGGTAGTGAAGGGAAAAGGGATTGCCTGACATGAGTTTGCTAACAGAAGAATGTCAAGGAGAAAATAAAAGGTATAAAATTTAAGCATTTTCTCCTCCAATATTCCAATTCAAAGAAATTTTCGTTGATTGAGAATAAATTAATAAAAAACAAGGTCTGAATGTAGGATATAATATCTATCATACTAAACAATAAACATTATTGGTCAATGGATTAATTACAACCTATACCTTGGAGTATCGTGTCATTAAACGGGTGACCCCAGAGTTTGCATATCTACATCAGTAACCCAGATATTACTAATTGTAACTACAGAGGTGACCCTAAAGCCTAGACAAAAAGAAACTCTCAGGGTTACCAGTGTAATTATAATCTGTACACTCAGGGTTACCTATGTAGATAGAATACTTTAGGGTCACCCGTGTAGTTACACTATACCTCAGGGTACCGGGTTGTAATTAATCCTTGTTCAATCATACTAAGCATTACTATACATTATTTAGTGATCAATTTTCCACAACCTCACTGTATTCCAAACTAAACTACTCTTAATACAGAAGACAGGATATTATTATAAGGAACATCCTATAAAATTTACTCATGTGCACTAAAGAATGAAGAGGTGCCTTCATATATTATACATTTATACGTGGGCCTCCTACAAGGTTGTGGAAAGAAGAAATTGGAGCGAAGCGGCAAGGTGCTGCTTAGGCTTTTGGGGGCTTAAGCGGAAAAAACCTCAAAGTCAAATTTTTATTTTAAAACAGGGACGTAAGTTCAAAAACAAAGAAAAAAATGGGAAAAAATCTAAAATTATAAAACAAGCCAAAAGTGGAGGAAATAGAGTATACCGATGCATATGTGATGATTAACAGCGATCCTAAGATAGATTTAATAATGTGTAACAATAAAATTGATGTGCAACGATACTTGGATTTAATACTGCAATATTGTTAAGTGCTGTACACACTATAATGTCATAAACCTGCATGAACTGGACTATATATATCAAGTAGTCCACAAGTCAATGACTTAATGTAAATTATCAAAGGGAAAAAAATACCTATCAAATGCATCACTATTAGATTTAGTAATGTGTAACAATACTTCGACCTAACAATGCAATATTGTTAAATATTGTACACAGTATAATGTGATGAACCAACATGAACTGGACTATGTATATCAAATAGTCAACAAGTCAATGACTTAACGTAAATTATCAAAGGGAGAATATACCTATCAAATGCATCACTATTAGATTTAATAATGTGTAAAATAAAATTGATGTGTAACAATACTTTGATTTAATAATGAAATATTGTTAAATACGGTATACACTATAATGTGGTAAAACCTGCATGAACTGGTCTATGCATACCAAATAGTCAACAAGTCAAATGACTTAGGGCCTGTTCGTTTGCCTTAAAAAAATGGAAAATCAAAGAAATAGAAAACTATTTCTAAGAAAAATGGGTTTTTGAATTGTTTGGTTGGCTAAAAAAAAGGAAATCAAAGAAATGGAGATGAGATGAGATGAGTTGTCACATTATTATTGGATGATGTGAGTGATTTTTTAAGAAAACTAGTTTTGATGTTGTTCGGTTGGCGAAAAAATAAGAAAATGAATTATAAGAAACATATTTCCTGTAGTTTTGTTGTTTTCTTTTGTTTGGTTCATTCTTAAAAATAATAAATAAAATGAGATGAGATGAGTTGTCATTGTATTATTGGGTGATGTGAAGAAAGATTAAGAAAAGTGTTTTCACAACTTTTTGGGATGAAAACAAAGAAATGAAATGTTAATGAGATGAGGTGAATTGTTATAATATTTTATTCGATGATGTGAGTGATTTGAAATGATGAAAAGAGATGAGTTGAGTGATGTTTGGATGAAAATAATATTTTATTAGATGTGATGGATGAGTTGTTAGATGAAAATAATATTTTATTAGATGTGGTGGATGAGTTGTTAGATGAAAATAATATTTTATTAGATGTGGTGGATGAGTGGTTAGATGAAAATAATATTTTATTAGATGATGTGGATGAGTTGTTGGATGAAAATAATATTTTATTGGATGTTGTGGGTGAGTTTTAGGGATGGAAATGGAAGAAATGTATTATTTTGAGATTTCCACCTTTTCCATTTCCATTTCTTGGTTTTTAGGAAATAAACGAACAGGCCCTTAATGTAAATTATCAAAGGGAGAAAATACCTACCAAATGCATCACTATTAATTATTGCCATAACTTCTTCCAAACTTTAAAGTAGAATCCTCTCAGGAAAAAAGGGGAAAAAACCATATAACAATGAAAAAAAGACCATGAAAAATACTCCAACCACTAAGCACTAGCACTGGCACAGCTTTTGCACTCTTTTTAGGTGCTTTTGGCCGCTTTGGGCCTTAGCACAACGGCAAGGTGTCGCTTCCATTTTTTGACCCCTTAAAATGTGCTTTTTCCCGCTTTTTAAAATATTGGGCTACTAACCAGTTAAGCTGATTTGGTTAGCTCATGTTTAAAGAAGGGAAAACTGCTTCCACCTGCCTGGAATTACGTTTTAGCAGTCAAGTGTGAAAACCCCCTTCACCAAACCATTCTTCCTTCCCCCCTCTAGGTACCTTCCCCGAAATTCTCTCATCTTCAATCTTCCATCCCCTCCTCCATCTCCGCCCTCCATCCTCCTCCCTTCTCCACCTCCACCCCACCACCCCTTTCCTCCATATTCACCAGACTAAAATCAGATTAAGAAAACAATCTGCATAATTATGAAAGCATAATTAATGAGCCTCAAAGATCTCATCATCAACTTTGAAAGACACATAAGTTCCCTCTTCACTTTCTAGAAGTTGGCCGACCTGTTGAGTAATGTCAGAGGGAGGCATGGGAATAGTAGAAGAAGTCGACCCCTCGGTATGTGATGTCACGACACCAACACGGCAACTAATAAACAGACAATCATCCTTGAGATAATCTGAAGTCTCCAAGGTCGTTCGTCCGAAGAAACGCTTATAACCCCTGTGTAGTTTGACAAAGAAAGGATTGCTTTAATGGTAGAAATGAGACCCTAAAAGACAAGCCAAAAATCTGAAAATTTAAATTAAACATACATAAAAGAAATAGGAGAAGATATTAATAAAAATTACTATAAAAATCTATGCTATATCTAGGATCAGCCAGGAAACAGGGCAACGTAGACTTAGAAATTGCATATAATGAGATGGGAACTTAGGCCTTGGAGTGTCAAATGAAGGCAAGGTGAAGTTATAAATTGCATATAACGAGATGGGGACCTAGGCCTAGGAGTGTCAAATGAGGATCAGAAATGAAACAACTCAAGGTGAAGTTAGAAGTTACATATATTTTCTCTCTTTATTTTACCAAATAACTTGAACGCCTAATAAATAGTGTAAATATCATAGATCCTCCATCTGAAATCTATATCACAAGTATGATACAAGATCGTTGATCCCTTCACATCATCTCTTATGTAGTAACTATAAATATGTAGTCCACATTAACAATCACGAAGATCTTTCCCTGATATTGCCATATTGGTAAAAGAAAAACGAGTGATCCTTTTGGGCATCATATATTTTTTGCAATACTGTACCAAATTTCTATAATCAAACTCGAAGAAACTATTTAGTTATTACAAAAACTTATTCAGGCTGAACACTTTTCATACTCTTCTAAGCTAGAATCTAGGTAATTACCTCCTATAGACCTCATAACCAAGAACATAATAAACAAATGCATTCTCAGTATCTACCTGGTAGAAAAACCAATATGACAAACTTGAAAAAAGTAAGAATTAACAGAAGCACAAATTAATACATACAAATGTACATAAATACAAAGTTCAATGACAAGTGCAACTCCTTTTCCCTTGCGCTCAGCAATGAGAAAATTCAATACATTCCAATGTAAATATTAATCAGTTGCAGATATAAAATCTCACAAGTAACATCCTCATCAAATTGTGAATTTGGAGTTATACTAAAGGACTGAGAGAGCCTCTAAGGCAAAACTTCTCTTCAAACTACATGGTATATAAACCCTTATTGGTCCTCCTTATTTTGAAGCACAAACTCAAGATAAAAACAGAATGGAATAATGACTTTATAAAGGGTTAAAAATTAACAAGGAAATCATAACAGCATCTTCAGACTGTAAAGAAGAAAACTCGAGATTCAAGACAAGGCGTGGACTCAGAATGTAATATTTATAGAAATCACTAAATGGTTCAAAAAAGGACAATAACAATAACATTTGTATCTTTTTTTAGTTCCAAAGTACACTTCATCGATATACCTAAGGGCCACTATATCCAATTATCTTTTGCCATTACGACCATTGTGTATAAATATGAAAAAGGAAAGAGAATAAACATGTTCATACAACAAAAATACATAGAGAATACATCACATACAATGCATAACAACAAGTTGTAAGTACTACGACACCACATAATTCTTTAGCTACTTTCATTTGAAAGGTAATGTGCAAATCAATCTCTATATAAAAAGGCTGAAAGCCAAGACAGGGCCGTGTTTGCACTCCTACTAAAGTGGTGAATTGCCAGTAAGGTCATTTGGGTTTGAACTGGTGGGCTCTCATGCTAATAACATATCCTCCCCCTCCCCCTTCCTCTTCCTCTCCCCTTTCCCCTCCCCCTCCCCCTCTCTTATTCCCACAAAAACAACGACGAGTAACTAAGCTTGTAAATCCTTTGAAGAAGCTATACTGAGTAATCCTATTAAGAAGCTACCATGGTAAATATGCTGGTAAATTAATGAACATAAATCTTTTTATATTCTCTTTTAAACTTGTAAAAGGTTGTTCCTTTGGATCTTTTCTCAATTTTGGACTATCGTCCACCCCCACCCCAAAAAAAAACAAAACAAAACAAAAAAAACCCAAAAGTTTTAGGGTTTTTGAGAATGGATAGTTTGTTGTGTGATAGATCTCTTGGACCCAGTTTTTTTAAAATGACCTTGGCGCCCACCTAGGCAGACGCAATGGCGAGGACACTACACAGTAAATATCCCTAATCAACCATCTTTAGGCATTTGGAGCACCTACACAGCCCCGCTTCCACTCCCCTTTCCCCTCCCCCTCCCCCTCTCTTATTCCCACAAAAACAACGACGAGTAACTAAGCTTGTAAATCCTTTGAAGAAGCTATACTGAGTAATCCTATTAAGAAGCTACCATGGTAAATATGCTGGTAAATTAATGAACATAAATCTTTTTATATTCTCTTTTAAACTTGTAAAAGGTTGTTCCTTTGGATCTTTTCTCAATTTTGGACTATCGTCCACCCCCACCCCAAAAAAAAACAAAACAAAACAAAAAAAACCCAAAAGTTTTAGGGTTTTTGAGAATGGATAGTTTGTTGTGTGATAGATCTCTTGGACCCAGTTTTTTTAAAATGACCTTGGCGCCCACCTAGGCAGACGCAATGGCGAGGACACTACACAGTAAATATCCCTAATCAACCATCTTTAGGCATTTGGAGCACCTACACAGCCTATGCGGCCACTTAGGTCTGAGCAACCTGCTTAAGATGGCCACCTAGGTTGAAAAGACAAGTGTTTCCAAATCTGAACCCAACCACGTTGCAGCTCAAGCTCACAGCCCCTCCAATATGGGTGTAAAAGAATTTCTGTATCCATGGAAATATACATTATACACGGATATGGTTACTAAATATCTATATCATATAGGATACGGTTACAAATACGGATATGTAATAAAATATTTGAATCCGTATTTGAAATGTCTAAATCTGTGTTGATCAATTATGTTACACGGGTACTTCTGTCATGAAGCTGTACTGACACTTACCACTTACCAGACACGTACCAGTACTGAAACTTCATGGATGCTCCATCGGTATATGCATACATTTATTCAAACATGTACTCAATTATCTATATTACTATATAAAAAACCAACTAAGAGTAGCACAAAATTAAGTGAATGGTGGACAAGTTCTTTCTAATTGTGACTGAAAAGGCAAACTGCAATTTTACAATGAATGGTGTTCTCTTTTCTTTTCTATTCCTTTTCTCCCTCCTTCTTGAACATTCTATGTCATGAAATATCATGTAAATAAAATTGAATCCCACATAATTGGATGTTCGTTATGTTTTTAAGTTACAGAAAAGCCCAAGCCCTATACACATTTCTCTTTTACAATCTATTTATATTAATATATAAACAAATTAAATAGTGAAGATAAGATAATTCATGGGGGACTTCATGTTCAAATATCTAAGGTAAAATAAAATCTTCTTGTAGAAAATTATTTGATCTTCACTCTCTTTCAAAAAATTTCACATTTTAAAATATAAATACACAACATAATGTTTTCATATCACGTGCATTTGCACATGTAATCATTCAAATTTACAACAGATATAAAATAAATTAGAGCCAGAGAGCTAATCTTGTTTTTCAGATATAACGAACATATAAATGAGTTTCATGCATCATATGACCAATATTTTCTACAACAAAATAATAGTTTTAAGTTTTTGACAATTAAAACTGTTCACTCAGAAGCTCACAAGAGTAACTCTCAATAAAATCCACTTCATTTCTCACCCTCACCAAAAACATTAGAACCAAACTGCATGCATGGCACTCATTACAAATAATACAGAAATAAAAAAGCAAAACTCTATAGTGCCCAGCTTAATGCACACCACAACAATATTTATCCTTTAAACCAAAATAACTACCATATCAAAAATTTAAGAGAAGTCCAAGACAAACAACTTAATCTAATCAAATTGAGCATTAGAAGAATCAATATCCAGCTCCAGCGGAAAAAAGCCATACAAAAGACATCCAAAACCCCAGCTTCACAACAAGAACAACCATTAAACAAGACCATTTTAACAAAACTCACCACATATTCCCACAATACTTAACCAAATCAATAAGCTGCCATTGGCCAATGCAACATGTGTCGGTCATTCCTAACTTCTTCCCGTTAGAAACAACTATGTTCCTGCCTTCTTGCTTTAATGGTATTATTCATACCTAACTCATTTACTATTGACATGATTCATCTTGAAAATAGTCACCCAGAGATATTTGTTTCCATTATTTCTTCTTTTTCTTTTCTTTTTCAATGAGAAAATGACCTTGACGGGTATTCATTTTGAATAGTTATTTGTCAAATCATAATATTATAAAACTATGGTGATAATAATATTATAAAGGAGAATTTTTTAAAAAAGACTATTTTGAAAAATAATAAGCAAAACCGACTCTTTTACGAAAATGTTAGCAAAATCAACCTCTTTTTATCCAAAAGAAGTCGATTTTGCAAAAAACTAGCTTTAAAATACACGGGACTAATAGTCCCGTGTAATTAGTGATCCCTAATTACGGTTACTCTGAAATACTCGTCTCGTGAATTTTGTACTGAAATGCTTAATGTTAAATTAATGAGAACTTAATACCTGGACTACCATGTATTTAAAGCTAAGTTTTTGCAAAGTCAACTTCTTTTTTTTTTTAAAGGTCGATTTTGCTAATAATTTTATAAAATGGTTGATTTTGCTAATTATTTTTTGAAAAATGATCTTTTTAAAAAATTTCTCCTATTATAAAACTATGGTGACAACTAGTAAACTAGATAAGAAAACTCACCATGTGCTCCCACAACACTTCAGCGTATATGGCCCGCTCTCTGGCACTCGTCCAAAATGAGTAAGAATTTTATGCCTCCCCTTCCCGCTCTGATCCAACATCGTCAACTCGAACAAAGCCCTGACATCAGTCCCCTCACTAGCCAGCGCAACAAACACTGACACAAAACACGTGTTATCCTCACGGCTTTTTCCATCAGGGTAAAAATAGATAGCCCATTCATAACCCCCAACTCTGAATTTATCAGAAGCTATGTATTTTCCAATGCCAAGCCCTTTGGAGAGAGAATAGCCAGTGATCTTGAACTCATGAAATCCATTGATGGTGTTGGTGATCGAGGTTGAGGCTGTTTCTGATGGAGATTGAGAGGAGAGGGAGATTGAGGGTTTGGAGCTTGCTGAAATGGTGTTGCCTTCAGTTTCTCGGGTTGGTTCATTAAATTCAGATATGGATGCTTGCATACCATTTGATGATGGAATATTTGGAGTTGTATCTATCTGAGACTGCACATCTTCTCGGGGATGCCTCAGCTCCATGCCATTCAAGGACTCTGTTATTGCTTCCATGATCATCTGCATCCAAAAGTGAAATAGACATCATTATCATTGTAATTAACAAACTAGAACATCACCAAGCCCTTTTATCTATCCAGATGGAGATAAGTTGAAAGCCTCACTGAAGTCAGAAAGGGACAACTCAACCAGGTAATTAACAAATTTGAACAGTACTCGTGAATTGTTACACGGAAAAGCATCATGAAGGGTTTCTGATTTCCCTGATCTGCCTATCAACTTTTCAATTAAGGGCCTGTTTGGTTGGCAATGAAACCAAGAAAAGGTGAGTACAGGAGATGGGTTTCCCATAACCATTTCTTTTATTTTGTTTGGTTGAGAGGGGAAGAAAAAGAAGAAGAAAAAAAAGTACATGTGAGACCCTACTCCTTGAAATATAAACAGTGCATGGGATCCCAAAAATAGATAAGCCGGAAATAGGCTTGGAAAAGAAAAAATAGGTTTCACAACCCATTTCTCATGGGTTATTTCCCAGAATTACATTTCCGTAAAAATCAACCAAAAAGGCCCAAATAAATAGATCCACTCCACCCCATAAAATAGCAGGTAAATAGCGCCTCTATGAACAATAGGCTCTATGTAACATTGTGACGTAAGTCACCTAACTATTGGTTAAACATCATCTCTATGAAAGGATAGCATATTTTCCATGTCATTTAGACTAATGCAACCAGTTGGCAATTTTCAGAACCTGCCATAATAGGCAGACTCTGATAAGGGAAAATGACAAGACCAAGGATAATTGCATCTAAGGATAAAATGACACAAAAAAAGGAGATCTAAGCAAAAGGGGAAAAAGAACCTGATTTCTTTTATTGAAGGAGCCAAATCCTTCTTGTGTTGGTTAATTAGCAGTTAGAGATTTTCAAGTCTAGGGTTATTTGCACTTCAATATCCCAAAAGTTCTCCCTTTTTTTAACTTTGATACCCTGAAGTCCTATTTTGACGACTTGAAACTCCAAAGTTATGAAATTGATGTTAATTTGAAATTTTGATACCCAAAGCCCTAATTTCGTTCCTCATTTTCTGCAAACTCAAAAATTAAAATTTGGTAAAAAAAAAAATTTGTTTCTCATTCACTACCCTATGTTGATGTGCTTGGAAAAATTAAGTTAACTTTTGCATTTTGGGTATCAAACTGTCAAAGAGAAGTTTAGGGTATCAACTTTAAAAGAGGTAAAATTTGGGGGTATCAAAGTACAAACAACCCATACATTCTATGGAAATGTTTAAGGTTCCATGAACCATGAATATTGGTATCCAGCTGTCTGACTTAATTTGACATGTGATCCTAAAGCCAGAAAGGGACTATTCAACCAATTATTAATTCAATCAGCAGAAACCCATATTGCTGGTTACTCAAAATGGTGATTAGTCTACAAGTCGTGAATGTTAGATTGAAGAACAGGAACAGTGGGAGATCTGCATATAGTAGTTAGTCACAGATAGAGTACTTCTGGTTGCTGATTAGCACCATGGAGAGTGAAGATTCTCTGTACCCAATGGGTAATGGAGATACTGGGGCGCTGTTCAGCTATAAATATCCATCTTTTTTCAGCTGATTACCAAATGTAGTTTTCAATTACTGCAGACTTGTATATGTAGCTCAAAAAGATTAAATGCATTAAGAATACATTATGTGGTCTTTAATATGTACTAGTTAGCTTAAAAATTCTTGAGCTTGAAAGATATGCTATGGCCATAGTCTAACTGTTTTTTACTGCACTGTTTATCATGCCATATTTAACAGGAGCATATACCTGTAGCTACAATTTTATAATAACCTTACCAAAATCTAACTCAGCCAGTGTTGTGCTTTATTTTGCTGACAGTACTACATATCCAAGCCAGGATGAAGGAGGGTTGTATTAGGTAGCCAACAGCTAGCGTAAGATATAGTCAGATTTCAATGACATGAATCCTATAGAATATTTGTAGCAGCATCCCCACCACGACGCGTTGCATCGATGCCACCCCAATGCCACTCCAGTGCAATAATAAGTAAAGGTAGTTTGCTAGGGCATTCCTCGGAAACAACGTGTTACATCAATGTCATCCCAATGTAATGACAAGTAAGGGTGTTTTAGGAAACTAGAATCGTTGTCAAATAGTAGTAGGCATAGACTAGAATGTCACAAGAGAGAAAAGGGTAGTGGACTTTCACAAGAGAATAAAATCACGTTAGCTACTTGGAACATGGATACACTTACCATTGGAATTACTAGATATTATAATTAGAAGAAAAAATAGTATAATTTTGTTATAAGAAACTAAATGGATAGGTGAAACATCAAGAGAAATTAAAAAGACAAGGTATAAACTTTGGTACACGGGAAAAGGGAAGAATAGAAATGGTGAGGTTACTTGTAGATAACATAATAAAAGATAGTATTATAGCTTTAAAAAGAGTTGGAGATAGGATAATACAAATAAAAGGGAATTTTGGAATATTGTAGATGAATTGGTATAAAAATTTTCAGTAGGAGAAAAGCTGTTTGTAGGATAAGACCTTAGTGGGCATGTCGGCAAGAATAATAATGGATATGAGAGGATACATTGAGGTCTAGGATATGGAGATAAGAATGATATGAAACGATTTTAGATTTCCAATATCACATGATTTGATTATCACAAATACACAATTTAGAAAACAGGGTGAACACTTAATATCCTTTAAAAGTAGATATAATAGTAGTCAAATAGACTTTCTTCTTACTAGAAGGGTGGATAAGTTAACTTGCAAAGATTGTAAATTATATCAAGGAAAAGTATAACCACCCAACATAGGTAAATGACATTAGATATTCTATTAATAAGTGGAGTAGAAAAATTAATAGGAACAAGAGACTAAGAACTAAATGGTGAAACTTAAAACGAGAGAATTTAGTGTATTTTAAAAAATAATGATGAAAGAAGATATATGGCATATAGATAAAGAGATAAATCATATGTGGAATAGTATCTCATCTTGTATTAAGAATGTAAGTAAATATATTCTAGGAGAATCTAATGGCTTAGATTAGATGTTGAAGAGAGTTGGTGGTGGATTGAAGAAGTTCAAAAAGCAGTTAGAGTGAAGAAAGCATTACATGAAGTTTGACAAAATGTAGTAGCAAGGAAAACTTTGAGAATATAAACTAGCTAGAAAGAAAGCAAAAAGAGAAGTTAGTGAGACCAAATACAAGGCATATGAGGATTTCTACAGGAAGTTAGAATCAAAGAAAGGAGAAAAAGATATATAAGATGAGAGGAAGAAAGCATAGAGACTTAGGTAGTATTGGATGTATCAAGAGTGAAGGTCAAAGTGTTCTAGTAATCAATGAGGAAATAAAAACGATGCAGATGAGTTACTTTCATAATTTGTTTAATGATAATCAAATAGGTGAGCAGACTACAAACTTTGACCATATTATGCATGATAGAAATTATAGATATTCTCGAAATATTACAATCAGTGAAGTTAAAGATACTCAAAAAAAATGAAAAATAGAAGAGCTGAACGACCAGACAATATTCTTATTAAAGTTTGAAAATATCTTGAAGATATAGGCTTAAAATAGTTGGCTAAATTAAGATTATTAAGGGAGATACACAAAATTGTTCAAACTATCATGGTATTAACGTCATGAGTCATACTATGAAAACCTGGTAAAGGGTAATAGAGCAAAGACTAATAAATAAGACAAATGTGTCTAAAAACCTATTTGGTTTTACGCCCGGGAGGTCAACTATGAAACCTATTCATATATTGAGACAATTGAGGGACAGATATAGAGAGAAGAAAAAAGATCGGTATATAGTTTTCATTGATCTAGAAAAAGTTTATGATAGTGCCTAGAGAAATATTGTGGTGGGTTTCAGATATATGCTGATGTGATTAAAGATATATATATGACAGGGTAACAACTGACAAATGAAGGAGAAACTAAACCATTTCCTATTACCATAAGCATAGGTTTAAATCAACGATTAGCTTTAAGCTATTATCTTTTTGCATTAGTTATAGACCAACTCGCTAGACATATTCAAGATAAAATCTCATGGTGCATGTTATTTGTTGATGATATAGTATTAATTGACGAGACTAGAAAATGTATAATTTACAAAGTAGAAAGTGGAGACAAGCTCTTGAAACTAAATGTTTTAAAATTAGTCAGCCCAATAATACAAAGAAAACATTACGGGATGAATTGATGAATTACAAAATTGAAGGAGGTTATTCAACTTTATTTTTTAATTTTATGTCCTATACAGCATATCCCCAATTCTTGTATGTTTTAATGTTATACTTGATGAGATAATGATTTACTACTATAAAAGAAACATGCAATCTGTGGATTCCTTTGGCAAAAGAAATAAAAGAGTAATGGAGAGGTTTTTAGGAGAAATCCGAGAAAAGGAACAACTTAACAAGCAGTGGTAGCATATAGTTATCTAACAGACCTACCCTTTCTTCATCATCCATGCTGGAAGGTATATCTGAAAAACCATCAAGAGAACACACTACGTACTCGTCATCAACCAGGCTGTACGAATGACCATTGCTGGGGAGCTTATCATTGAACAGCATAGAGGAAGATGAACCACCTGCTCCATTTCCCTGTAGTGATAAGCGAAAAGGAGAACATTAATTTACGCTTTTAACCATTATTAAAATTCCTAAAAGCAACTGGATTAGATATGTGATCTCTTGAGAGAACATTATCAGAAGCTCTTAATCATTCATTAAAATACCTGAAGTACACTGGATTAGGTATTTTGAAGACTGTATCCCATCTTGTGCAAAAACCATCTATAGCAACAATGCTCCATGCAACACACCAAAATTTGCACTAACCCGGTTTCATTACCTCTTTTATTTCACGAAACAAAGACTAGCTAAGTATACTTTAATCATGTGTGTTAATGTCATTTAACTGTGCATAGAGCCAAAAATGCAATTGGCAGAATATATCAGGATTGGATATTTAGCGAAACCATATTTCAACATCTTCTCACGTGGATATATTTTTCCTAGGAAACATGTCATGGCATTTTGATGCATTGGGTTTGCATTTTTTCCCCCTCTCAATTCCTCCTTGGCTCCAAGATAGTGAAGGAAAAAGCAATTTTCTTGACATAAGTTAGTTACGAGAAGAATATCAAGGAGGAAATAAAAAGAATAATATTTAAGCAATTTTCTCAATTCAAAGAAATTTTCCTAGTTTGAGAATAGTCTAAAAAAACAAAAAAAGAACAAGGTCAGAATGTAGGATATACTACCTGTTGTACTAAACATATTGTTCAATCCTACTAAGCAATTATTATAATATTTTAGCGACTGCTTTTCCACAACCTTACTGCATTCCACACACTAAACTACTTTTAATGCAGAAGACAGCTTACAATAATAAGGAACAACCTATAACATATACTCATGTGCAATAAGAAATCAAAGGTGCCTTCATATAATATACATTTATATGCGGGGCTACCGAAACAATTAAACTTAAATGTTTGGTTGGCATAACGTTTAAAGAGAGCAACAATCTCCCCTTTAAGAAAAAAAGAAACAAATTTAACATAAACTAGCAGCGTATACACTAATAATAACTTGGAAAATAGCTAAATTTTTATATGAAGAGAAATGCCATGATCAACTAGTATAAAAGACCTACCCCTTCTTCGTCTTCCATGCTGGAAGGTACATCTGGAATATCACCAAAAGAACATACTACGTATTCACCATCAACCAGGCTGTGCAAATAACCACTGCTGGGGAGGGAATCACTGAACATAGAGGATGATGAAACATCTGATCTATTTCCCTGCAATGATATGAGAAAAGAACATTATTTGAAGCTTTTAATCATTCATTAAATACCTAAAGCACACTGGATTAGATATATGATCTGTCGGCAGAACATCATCTGAAGCTTTTATTCATTCATTAAATGATTAAAATACCTAAAGCACACTGGATTGGATATGTCGAGGCTGCATCACATCTTGTCAAAAAGCAACCTATAGCAACAATGCTTCATGCAATATTACCACCAAAGTTTGCACTAACCCGGTTCCATTACCTCTCTTATTTCACAAAACCAAGAACAGCTGACAAAACTTTTATCTCATGTGTTCGTGTCATTTAACTGTGCATAAGGCAAATACGCAATTGTCAGACGATGTCAAGTATGGATATATAATGAAGCCACATTTCAACATCTTCTAATGTGCATATATTTTCCCTAGGAAAAACAGTATGGCATTTTGATGCGTTGGGTTTGCATTTTGTTTTCCTCTTAATTCTCCTTGGCTCAAAGGTAGTGAAGGGAAAAGGGATTTGCCTGACATGAGGAAATAAAAAGTATAAAATTTAAGCAATTTTCTCATCCAATATTCCAATTCAAAGAAATTTTCCTTGTTTGGGAATAATTTAAAAAACAAGGTCCGGATGTAGGATCAATATCTGTTGTACTAAGGGGTTGTTAGGTTCAACAAAAAAATAGGAAACCTTTTGGAGGTATTGACACATCCATTTAGAGTTTTCCGGAATATTTTGTGTTTCTCTTGTTTGGTTAAACAAAAAGAGGAAAATGCACCCCAAAACAACCCATTTTTCCTAAAAACCTAAAAACACGGTTCTGACCTTTGAGTTTGGAAATGGGCAGGATAAGTGTGAAAAAAATGATGTGGTTTTTTCCCCTTGGAACTCATTTTCCTAGAAACTAACCAAACAGACCCTAAACAATAAACATTATTGTTCAATCATACTATGTGTTATTATACATTATTTAGAGGTCGATTATATAAAACCTTAACTGCAATCACACTAAACTACACTTAATGCAGAAGACAGTATATCATTATACGGAACATCCTATAAATTTACTCATGTGCACAACCAGGAGGTGCCTTCATATACTATACATTTATACGTGTGGCTACTGAACAATTATCAAACTTAATAATTTGGTTGGCATTACATTTAACGAAGGGAAAATTGCTTCCAACCCCCTTGAATTAAGTGTTAAGAGCTAAGGGGTGAAAATATCCCATGACCAAACCATACTTGCTTCCACCCCTGAAGTACTGTTGATCACCAAAATGCTGTTGATCACCAAAATGCTCACATCTTCAATCTTCCCTTCTCCTCCTCCACATCCGCTCCCACCACCCCTCTCCTCCATCTTCACCACACCATAATCAATTAAAACCAATCTCTATAATTATGAAAGCATAACTAAGGAAGAATAATTTGAAAGTAAGTTAGGCTTTCATTGGAGTAAAAAGTAGTGCTCCGAAAACAGGTGATCAAGCTGCAAATACCAATTTATGAGTCTCAAAGATCTCATCATCAATTTTGAAAAACTCATCAGTTTCCTCTCCACTTTCTAGAAGTTGGCCAACCTGTTGAGTGACATCAGAGGGATGCACAGGTATACTAGAAGATTTGGGCCCCTTGGTATTGGATGTCACAACCCCAACACGGCAACTAATTGAAATACAATCATCCTTGAGATAATCTGAAGCCTCCAAGGCAGCTCGTCTGAAAAAACGTTTATACCCCCTGTGTAATAGACAAGGATTTGTTTTAATGTAGACATGAGACATAAAAGAAGAGCCAAAATCTGAAAATATCAAATTAAACATGCGTAAAGAAATAGGACAAGATATTATACAATTACTGTAGAAAATCTATACTCAAATATCAAGGATCAGCCATGAGACAGAGCAAGGTGGACTTCAAAATTGTATACAACGAAATAGGAACTTAGGCCTTGGAGTGTCAAATGAAGGCAAGGTAAATTTAGAAATGGCATATAATGAGATGGGAACCTAGGCCTAGGAGTGTCAAATGTTGATCAGCAATGAAACAATGCACATATATTCTCTCTTTATTATGACAAACAATTTGAATGCCTAACAAATCATTCTCCCTTTAAAAGCACGAGTTCGGAAAAATCTTTCTATGGTCAATATTGCCCTTCACTATTTTAAATATTTTATTTATATCTTAATCTATTCTAATCATAATTATATCCTATCCTAATCCTATGTGAACTATTTATAGCTTAATTTATATCTTAATCTATTCTAATCATAATTATATCCTATCCTAATCCTATGTGAACTATTTATAGCTTAACAATTTAAAAAATAATATTAATAAAATATATAAAACATCTTGCATTATTTTGTTAAGATAAAGAAATTATACGTAGCTAACGTACTATAATACATAAATTATTGTAAAAAAGCCTAAAAAGTTTTAAAATTACACAAAACACCCTGAAAAGTTTAAAATTATAAAAACTATTTTGACGTCTAAAAACTTAAAACAACAAACATGAAATCAAGAAATTAACAGCAGTTTGCGAAGAATTTGAAATTTGTGGTTAACATCTCAAAAATTATAGAAACACCCTCAAAAGTTTAAATTACAAACAAGCACCTGAAATTCTAAATTTTCAATACTTCTAAACAACATAGATGAATTCAAGGGATTACCATAACGCACCTGAAAATTTCTGGCATATCAAACATTAAAACAACAAACATGAAATCAAGAAATTAATAACAACCTCCCAAGAATTTAAAAGTTTTTCATTAACACCATCAATGTCCCAAAAATTATAGAAACACACTCAAAAGTTCAAATTATAAAAAACAACCCTGAAATTTTTAAATTTTTAAAATTTACAAATAATAAAAGATGATTTAAAGAGATTACCCTCATGCACCTAAAAATTTAAAATTTGTCGAAATTAACCTTAAAGTTATAAAAGTTGTAGAAAAAACTATTTTAAAATTTAAAAACCATTAAAAAAACTATTTTTTTTTAATTTATATACAATACACATCAAATCTGAAAACTATTGGTAGACTACTGAAATTTAAATTTTTTAAAAGTTAATCTACAGTTTTAATAATTACAAAAAGCAGCCTCAAAATTTCAGAGTTGTAAGAAATATTGTGATATTTAAAAATTACCATCGACACATGAAAAACATAGAAGTTACAACTAACAAACTTAAAAGTTATTTTTTTTTAAAATGCTCCTAAAGTTTTAAAAATTACAAATCACACCCTCAAAGTTTAAAACGATAAAAAAAGGCTGAAATTTTAAAACATGGCAAAGAAAAGTGTAGTTGTTTGGTAAGAATTGATTAAAAATATCCGGTTAGGGAATAAAAAATTAAAAAATATTATAGCTTAAAAATATTATTATCATATAAATTAAAACAACTGCATAAAATTTTACTAATAAGTTAGAGCAGCAAAACACATTAGTAACATTAATTGATAGGAGTTTAAATCCATAAAAATGATAAAAGACTATAATATAATAGCTTAGCATTAATTGATTATAATTTAGAAACATTAATCTCTGATGTTAATAATATTTATAGAGTAAAAGAATATAATGAATTACATATGGCGATACTATTAGAATGTTCAGAGATATCCTACAAAAGAATCAAGCTATTTTCATTGCAAATGGAAAAGTGACGAAAATAAATCTAAAATTCAGAAAACGTCCATAAACCATTTAAATTGGCATTAACATAAAGCATGTCTATTAAAGAAGCACCAACTGAGTTATATTAAAGAATAATTTAATAACTTTATCCCAATCAAAGGAGAATTCTCTATAAAAGATATAAGAAAAATTAATAAGCATTCATAAATTTCATACTTTGCTCTTTAAATACTAAAGAAATTAAATATTAATATTATAATCTTAGGCAAATTAGCATAAAAATACAGGTATTTAGTTTAGACCTTTGTGAAAAATGTCAAGAATAGAGAAAATGTAATATTATTAACGTAACAAAAACTCTTATTGGATGCACATCGGAAGAATTCATTGTAGAGAAAAAGAGGTAACTCCTAATCTTATTTAAGTAATAAATTAGAAACAAAAAGAATTTCATATATATGAGATTAATATTTATTCTCATTGAAATAATAAAAAAATCAAAGTCTATATTTTAAGAAGTTTGTGTTGAACATCAAAAATACATTTAACTTTTTTGTGAAGTTAAATGACAAGATAAAATATTAACGAGCCCAAGAAATATAACAACACAAAAAATACAACTCTAGCCTGATGTCACAATCGAGTAGATAATGAAGACACTACTCTAGAATTGTTCGTGAAAAAGATAAAGGTGAGAAAGGATTGATTTTAGCTCAATAAAAAAAATAGAAAGAACAAAAAATAATATTTTCTAAATATTTTATAGAATAGTGTAATTATTTTGAGTGAATTTAGGAATCTTTAGAAGGGTGTTTTATGAGCTTATTTTAGTATTTTTATATGCTTGTGCAGATGCTTTTATCATATGAAAGTATAATAGAGTTAGCATTAATCTTTAATTTATAATTTCTTATCAAATCTATCAATGATTAGGAACAAACTTCATATTCTCTTTTGTATCGATTTAGTATACTTTTAACCAATCATTTTGACTTATTAGTTTTAAATATTCACCTTTCTTATATAACATTATTTTAATATTTTTTACTTTTACAACAGTGTACTTTCTCAAGTAAAGCTTGGTATCATGTCAGTCAAAATAATATAAAATTTTAAATTAGTTTTAAATTATATTTATTTTCTATCAATTCAAATATCAACATGAAATTTTAAATTGGGTGTAGCCCATTTAAACAAACGTCAAAGAAAATAAATAATCGTAATATTAAAGTTTAGAGACAAAAGCGAGCATAAGCTATTAAAGTGGAACTTAGAAACAAATTTTAGTTAGAAAATAATCTAAAAATACTTAATCATAGTATTTAACTACGTGCAATGCACGTGTATAAAACTTAATAGTGTAAATGTCCTAGATGATTTTGTATAAAAATATGAGCTTGGTGGTAAGATGTCATAGTTGATGGTACATATTGATCGATTCATTTTCTTTCACAATCATAAGAAGTTATAGTTATTTTCTTTGAATGAACTAATAGAACATATTTCTAGAAATAATATCTCATTGTAAAATCCTCTCTTGGCAATTATGATTTGTCTGCTATAAGCAATGCAAACTTGCAAAAGCTAAACATTTAACAGAAATAATAATGTTCACACGCATTTTGTTTAGCTTTATAGATCATGTTTGGATTGGTACTATTTTGAGGTAATAAGCCTTTATCCATTCCATTAAAATAAAAGTGAGTTGTTTGGTTCAAAATTTTGTGGGGAATTAAACCGGAGTTTTAATTTGTTAAAATAAAATAGTCCAAAGATTAGCATACGGATATCTTTAGGAATTTTACATGCTAAGACCAAACTACAACCCATTTTCACAGTACTATATATCGAATGATGCTTTGTACATTTATAACTAGCTAGAAGAGGTATTTTACTTTGCTTTTTTGCTTTCTGTTTACTCTTGTTTAAGTATATTTTGGACATGCAAGTCTTCCGGTTCATGTTGAAGATATGAATCCAATTAAACGAACTTTAGTTATAATTATATTTCATTTTCAGTTATAAATTTTGTTATCTTTCATATGAAACCTATGTTTCATGATTGTTCAAATAATGGATAATCTAACCTTAGTTCAGGCTAATGATTTGATTCATTGTAAAGCAACTTTCCTTTTAAATCGACGTAGTGTGTTTTACTCTTCAAACTAGAACTTTCCTCTTTCATCAATCTACTTCTTATTCCATGAACTTAAATGCAGACCCAAAGGAAGTTCCAAGGCAATAGCCAGCACTCGATTGATGTGCTTAAACATCCAACAGATTCAAATCCTTTCTCTACTCCATATCTATATCTCATAATCCTTAGAAAAATTTTAGTCATTTTAACTATACATTATTAAAGCAAGAATGAGGCACATCTTGAATCTATCACTAGAAAAGTAAGGTTATTAAGTTATTTGTGCTTGGTCTCAGATTTTGGGGTTATTTTAACTGTTCTTAATTGAACTTTTAGGGGGAAAGCATCTTTATTTAGAACTATTCGAGTTTATAAAGGCTTAGAATGAAAATTTCCATGTGTTTTCAAGCTACTATGTCTTCTTAACATAAGAGTTTCCCATTAATAAAGTTGAAGGTTATACAATTATAAATGGCATATATGAAGTTGGTAATTCTTTTAACACGGCACTTAGATTTGAAAGCTTTAGTAATGTGATTTGTTTGCTTTAGAATTCAAACTGATTATTTTGGCAGATTTGTAAACCTGTGATTTTGTCAATGTTCTTGTGCTTCTGTGATTTCATAGTTTAAGTGTAGTGGTAGAAATTTAAGAAACTTCATTTTAAATATATCAATTTTCATGATTATTAGCTGTGACCTAATGTTAGATCTTTCATGTTTTAGTATTTGAACATCACTCTGGTATAGCGGAATAATGAAGTTTTGCAGATCTAAGTAAGTGTCAAAGCTATAAAATATACTAGGCAGCTAAGGCGTCAGACCTGAAGCCTAGAGCCTAGGCGAGGCCTAGGCAATTTTCGCATTTTTAAATTTTTATTTATAGTAATTGATAATAAATGTGAATGTTATAGAAAGCAATAGGCATCACTAGGCGTCTGACGCCTAGCGCCTAGGTGTCTAAGTGGATTTTGCTCTTTGTTTAAGTAGTGGAGGAGGTTCTCTAAAATTTGAAGGAGGTGGAGGCTGTGTTCATAGTTAAAGGAGGCGGCCTGAGTATTTCGAAGGTGATTAGAGGATGTGGAGGTTGCAGCGGAGAAAATTACGACAAAGAACTAAGCCTTACATAACCTACGCACCCTTAGACGCTCCTAAGACCTAGGTAGGCCGCCTAGGTAGGCCGCCTAGGTACCACCTAGGCTTAGGCAGGCAAGGCGCTAGTTTAAAATATTAGCAATAGTCAAGGAAATAAATACGATGTTTCTGGAATTTTAATCATAATTAGGTAAGTCTTTTTTATTTAGGCTATCAATGAGTATAAATTATATTGTATTTAAAATTATATAGTGTCAAAATTTGAATTAATTGCTATCATTGTTTCTTAATATCTTTTGATGTGCATATGATTAGTTGTCTCAACCCCATAGACATGTAAGTGAAATGGAAAAAAGATAATAGTAGCCATATGCTTGAACGGCAAGCTTTCTGGTAGTAGATAAATCTGATGCAGTTTAGATATTTCGCTCATTGAATAATTCTCATGTTAAAAGTTTATTTTTAATATAATCTCCAATCTCAAATTGTAATTTTTATATTGTGGGGCAATATTGTTGCTTCATGAATTATTTGGTTTGCCTATTTTGTTTTGTTGAATAATTCTATATATTTATTTAACTTGCTTAGGCATCCAGAAATCTTCATTTCATTATCATGTTTCATTTTAGGAGCTAATCAAAAATCATGGTTTAGTTGATAGGAATTAAACATAAAGAGTTGGTAATAAAGCTTAGTCTTCTTAAATGTGCATTAGGGAAAAAAAACATTTTGCATGTGAGCCACCTTATCTATTCAATCTAATTGTGCTTGTTATAGAAATTATCAATAATTTCCTTAAATCTCTAAGACTAATGTTCAATTGTAGTTTTATCGTATTGTAGTGCACTACCTTCTACTAAGTTATTATTACTGGCTACAACTCTAGCAAAATGAAACTAACTAAATTTATTTTCATGTTTTGAGATTTAGTGAGTGTAACTTTAAATTGCCTGCTTATATATTAACTCTTTTCATTCATGTAGACAATTCCCTCAAAGATCATATATTAGAAAACTCTAATACTTTTCCCTGTTTGAAAGAAATGTATATCTAATTATTCATTTGTCCCAAAAGAATTGTGTCATTTGTTCATTTGTCTGCTAAACACTAATGCATGAACGAAAATAGATCTAATATATTTCACCTAACTCCTTAAATAGTTTGTTAATAATAAGCTCTCAAACATAAATATTTCTAAAGAAAATAATTTTGATGCACATGGGGAGAGGATTACGGAATTTTCTATGCTTTAAGATATGATGCAAAAGTTTTAGCTTGATTGCATTCATTTATATCTTTTAGGGTCTATTTCATTCAGAGTTCTTAATGTTCAATTTTTGAGATTTGAGGAAAAAGTATTAACTTGATCTTATTCTTCTTAGGATATTTAAGTTGGAGACATAGTGAGGTGTTTGCCTCATTGTATTGTTAGTACACATTTCACTAGATGTGCATTGATAGTTGGCTCACTAGCTATGGCTCTTGCTCGCTTGTAGACAAAATATCTAAATCGCATTGTCCTTTTTTTGCTAGAGAATTCAATTCATTTTATGGTCATTTTGTTGAGTCCTTCTGTCTAGCTGTATTTTCATGAAATATGATATAGACTACTTTCTATTGGATATATATTAGAATCAGTGTTGAAAATAACGCGTTTCGTAACGCAAAATAACGCTTAACGTAACGTAACGTTAGCTTAACGTTACGTAACGTTTGAAAATAACGCAAAGACAAAATAACGTAGGTTATTTTAGCTATAACGTAAGTTACGTAACGTAACGGCGTAACGTTTTATAACTTAGGTTATTTTGTCAATGGCTTAGATTGCTTTTAAAAGAAATGAACGGCTGTGATTGAGTTATAACTTAGGTTATTTTCCACCTCCCCTTCCCCTTTTCACGCCTTTTTCATGCCGCCCGCAGCTCCGCCTCCCCTTCCCCTTTTCACGCCCTTTTCACGCCGCCTTTTTCACGCCGCCCGCAGTTCCGCCTCCCCTTCCCATTTTCACTCCTTTTTCATGGATTCCAACCCAACCTAATAATTTCATACTTCATAGTTTATGGATCATTGGATCCTTTTTGGTTTCGAACTTGAAGTATTTTATGCTTTTGGATTGATTGTTAAGGCAAACATGGTTGATTTGGTGTGAAATTGTGATGATATATTGATTTGTGAAATTGAAAATTACGATGATTATTCATATTTTTTATTTTGAATGTTATATATCTATAAATTATTTAAATAATAATAAATTATTTAACCTACGTTACGCTATGCGTTATCGCTATTGTAACCTAACCGGAGGTAAACGTTACGCTATACGTTATCGCTATTTTCAACATTGATTAGAATATAGTGCCACATCTAACCTTCTAACTTCGAAGAATTTTTTAAAATATATTATAGAGACTACTTGCTATCGGCCATATATTATATTACAGATACTTTGTGTGGCTATATTTTAGTGAAATATGATGTAGAGACGAGCTATTGGACAAATATTAGAATTTAGTGGCATGCCTGACCTTCTAATTTCGATGATTTTTTTGTTTTGCTTAGTGTTGATAATATATGCACAGCAATATTTCCTTTAACCATTGGTTATAAATCGACAATGAAGAGCTCAAAAGGCTAAACTAGATGTTTTGTAAGATCAAGAATGCGAGGTTTAGGAGGAAACACAAAGTCCAAGCAAATATGTGTTCTCTTGAATATTAAATTAGTTTTAGTAGAACTTTATCAACTTATAACATTTTACTAATGCATGGGATTTTTTTTCTTAGTTTGTTTTTGTTTAACTTACTACTTTACTTTTACTATTTTTATTTGGAAATTTGTTTTTTAAAATCCCAAGCATAACACAGGTCTGAATCTTGTACTTAACCAAAACAAGTAGTTGTCATTGGTTGCAGGAATGTGACAGGTGCCCGTCATTCCTAACTTATCTCTTTTAGAAACAATTAGTTCATGCTTTCTTTCATATATGGTATTATTCATGGCCGAGTATGATAACAACTAGCAGAGATATATGTGTTCCCATTATTTCTTCTTTTCCTTTTGGTTGTCAACTAGAAAATGATCTTGATGGGTGTTCATTTCGAATAGCGATTTGTCAAACCATAATATTGTCAAACTATGGTAACAACTAGCAGACTAGATAAGAAAACTCACCACATACTCCCACGGCAATTAAGAATATACGGCCCACCCGGCAGCGGTCTCCCAAAATGGCTGTGACCTCTATGCCTCTCTTTTCCACTCTGATCCAAAATCCTCAACTCGAACAAAGCCCTGACGTCGGCCCCCTCGCTCTCCAGCACGATGAACACCGACACGAAACGCGCCTTATCCTTAGGGTTCTTTCCATCAGGGTAAAAATAGATCGCCCACTCGTAACCCCCAACGCTGAAACTACCGGAAGCTAAGTACTTTCCGATGCCTAATCCTTTGTTGAGAGAGTAACCGATGATCTTGAACTCGTGAGATCCGATGATGGCGTTGGTGATCGAGGTCGAGGCTGTTTCTGATGGGGTTTGAGAGTAGACGAAGGTTGAGGGTTTGTTTGAGGGGCCGGACTCGATGATACCGCCCATTTTTGGAAGTCGAATTAGGGTTTTGAGGGGAAATTGGGGGTTCTAGGGTTAGGATTTGGGATTTTTTGAAGGAGAAGATGAAGAACGAGGGAAGAGGAAGTCGTTCTGGTTTTCGTTTGTTGGTTTTGAGTGCGACTGATTCGTTTTCATAGAGGGTTAATTCCAGATAGACCCCATGTAGAATCGCTCAATTACACAAATAGACCTTGTGGATTAATTGGTGAGGATATATCTTTGATTGACTTTTTTTTTTTTTTACTCTTAGGGCCTGTTTGGTTGGTTTCTCAAAAATTATGGAAATGGAAATTAGTGCTTGAAACCCAATTTTCAAGCATTTCCACTCATTTCTCAGAACCAGGTTTATCTTGTTTGTTTCGCATGGAAATAGAGGAATAGAAATACACTCATCAATTTCAATTGTTTGGTTGGGAAAAAAAATAAGAAATCAATGTATTGAAACAAGAAGAGGCTGGTGTATTGTGTTTGTTTGGGAAACAACATACCTGGAAACATGTTTAAACTCACCCCCCTGTAAGATGACCGGTCATACAGGACAAAAGAAGATTTATTTTTGCAAACACTCAAACAGCCACTTGCCAACGGTCAAAAAACAACGGCTACTTTACAAACACAGCCAAGTGAGATGAACAAAGCCAATATATAGCATGAACAAAGCCAGGTTACAAACACAGCCAAGTTACAATCACATCAGAATTTTACTCATCCCTTGATCACATTCTTCATTTCGTGAGATGAATACTTCGGAGGGGTCTCAAACATCAGAGGAAGTATGTTGTTTCTGCAAAATTCCAACACCCCTCAAGCTGTGCAAGAATGGGAGGAACAAAGGTAGATATTTCTGGGGATGTGCAAAGTTCCCAAATAAGCAACGCAAATTTTTTGCTTGGGCTCACAATGGCAACGCAATGAAGAAGAACATGCAGGTGATTGAAGAATTGCCTGTTGGAGAGGAGATAGCAGCCAAAACCAAACAACTAAAGAAAGCATTGAAGCAATTGAACCGTGAAGTCGAACTATGGAAAATTTGTTCATTCTTTCTATGTATTTTTTGTATGGTTTTAATTTTATTAAATATTGTGATTTGTACGTTGAAAATGAATTGAAGAAATTTTGTATTGATATAACATATTATATGCAATCTATGAAGATATCTACATCTCTCTTGAAATGCAAGTAGTAAATTGAAGTATATAAGTATGTGTTAATAGAAATCCAAATAATCAACTGTTTCTGTGGGGACAAAAATTTAAATAATGTTTATTTATAAAACAAACATATATATGTACATCAAGAACATAGAGTTAGGTTTTCAAAACAATGCTAGAATTTTAGTGTAATGTGCTCAGATTTGATCAAATATTATCATGGTATGCCTCACCATCAAAGTTTGAGAAAAATCATTGAAGGCTGCAATGTTGCCTCGCCTTTACAATGAATTATCAACTTTGGGTTGCATATATCAGTGGTATGACATTCATCATAGCACCAAATGGATAATATTACATGCCAGGAATTTTAATGTACACAAGTGAAAGATAGCCATACCAGCGCATTTTAAATAATGTTTATTTATAAAACAAACATATATGTACATCAATAACATAGAGTTAGGTTTACAAAACAATACTAGAATTTTAATGTAATGTGCTCAGACAAGATCAAATATTATCATGGTATGCCTCACCATCAAAGTTTGGGAAAAATCATTGAAGGCTGCAATATTGCCTCGCCTTTACAATGAATTATCAAACTTTGGGTTGCATATATCATAATATGACAATCATCATTGCACCAAATGCATAAGCTTACATACCAGGAATTTTAATGTACACAAGTGAAAGATAGCCATACCAGTGCATTTTGAACAATGCAGGTTGCATACCTGACACAATACCCCAAATAAGCTTACCTGTACGATGACAAAAGATAAGATGGCTGAAAGAAAAGCACAATTAGCACAAGAAATGTCCAGACAAAACAAAAACATGATAAGGATTGGATCAAATAGCACATTAAAACTCCAGAACAATGAAAGAATATAAAATGTCACCTGAGAATTATTGGTTGGTTTCCTGGGTGACAATGTATAAGATAGAAGAGGCCTCAATTGCCATCCTCACATGGGAGTATCACATATACTCTGGTAAGTCTGGACCAGCTTAGCCACAGAAACAACACAAGGTACAAGAAGTGAGTTAACTCACTTCACAATTGAAACCCAAACCCACCTGTATTCAAAAAGTAATGAAACTGACTGCCTGTTAATGAGATAATATATCCTGACTAACTTTTGATCTTAGGTTGTGTTGACATCCACCTAAAGGATTGGATAAAATAGCACAATGTATAAGATAGAAGCTGATAATAGCACAACATATGCAAAGAAAATGCAGGTTCCTTACACACCAAAAGTAAGACATTCTTCATATATCAAAGTCAGAAACCATAGATATATGAAGTAATTGATATCCTGGATATCAATTACTTAAAATATCCATACAATAGATATACCAAAACAATGTACTCCCAAAAGTCAGACAGAATATAAACACTACTCACTAGACCTCATTCTTCATTGTCTGAATTTGGCTTGTGTTCTGTCATGAAAGCATCCAACAGAACCCTTTGACCAAACTCAGACTTGCAATTAAAATGTCTAGCAGCTTGTTCATTCTCAAATAGTTTATCAAAAAACTTCTCCAACGTTTCAATTGGATACTTACCTTCATAACCAAAGACAGCTTTCCCAAGTTTCTCAGTCCAATGCATGTTAACAGATTTCATAGATTCTGAAAACCCTTTCACCTCTTCAACCATTTGTTTCATAAGTTCAGTGTCCATGTTAGCTTTACCACCCTTTCCTTTGCTACTATGTTTTTCAAGGATTTTAGCATTGCGCACACCTCTAGCTGGTTGGGAGTTTGTAGTAATAGAATTGTGCTTAGTTTTTGGTTGAGAGGGGTTGTCATCTGATTCCAGTATATCTCGATAATTATCCTCATCATCACCCAAATTAATAGGTTCAGAACCACCAATATTTTGTGCCACATCTTTTGCCATGTCACCCCTAGCTTGATCATCCCCAATTATTATTGCCAGATCATCATAATGTAGCAGAGGCTTGTTGATGTAGTCTTTCAGCCTACAATTACTCTTATCCTGCACATTAATATATAGTCAATTGGTAAGATATATTGCATAAAATTAAATATAACTGATATATAAACAAATAAATGTACCTCCCTCCATCTATCAAAACTCTCAACATCCATAGTGATGGTCTTTGTATCTGCATCCCAACCTGCCCCACTTAGATTACGACATGTTTGCATATCAAAGAAACGAGTACGAAGACTTTTCATGTGATGCCTCACATGCTTTGAAGTGAATTCTGTGCCAAAATGATCATTGACTTCAAGGGCTGCCATGTGAAATGCAGTCTCCTTGAAATTTTTATCAACCTTAAACCCTCTCTTAGCCAATTTTGCAAGACAAGGGATGAGAATATCATCATGTTTTTGAGACCAAAACCTGTGACCACCCCCTGTATTACTATCAGTTTTCAACTTCCTCTTCTTTGTTGATTTGTTCTTTATAGATGCATCAGGTGTAATGTCTGTAACTTCTTCTACGGGTGATCTTTTGTTACTTCCTGTTGATGTATTAGGTGAGTTATGATTGAAATAATGATAATTGGATGGACCAGTAAGCATGTTCATGTATGACATGTGTTGATGATGCAAAGGTAAGTAGTTGCCATCAAAGTTTGGTGGCATGAAACCCATGTTGAATTGGTTCATTGAATTCACTGGTGGCATGGAACTCATGTTAGGCCCACTAGTAACTTGACTCAGTGAGGGCCTTGGTGTTTGAGATTGAGAATTATCACCCATTCCTGTATCAAAAATAACAACGACATATACACAAATATAGTTATGTTCTAATAAACATAAATGCATGAACATGACAGATGTAATAAACAAAGATTACTGACATAGGAGGAATATCTTGAACATATTATAAATAACTGAAATGTAAAAAACAATAAAACTGATTTACCTTGAATTACAGATTTTATTCCAAAGCATGAATACAAGTAATGACTACTAAACTAAACACCAATTTCAATGGTGACACCTCCACGGTGTTGAGCACAGTAGTCAACCCACATATTCCAAGCTATTTGATCTCTAAGATCCTTCCAATCATTTCTCGATTGTGTTTGCTCTCTTTGTGTTTGGGTTTGCATGAAGTCCACAAGATTAACATCATCCTCAATCACATCATCACTATCTTCTTCTACAAGGTCCATTCCCTCATTGAGTAGATCGTCAGTTGGATCCACAGTTGCAATATAGTTATGGAGTATGGTGCAAGCCAGCACAATATCAACTTGTGAATGAAATGGATAGTTGGGCTTAGCAGTCAGAATCTTGAACCGATTCTTCAATATGCCGAAAGTAGATTCAATCTTTGATCGTAAAGAAAAATGTCTAAGATTGAATAACTCCATTTTATTATTAGGTGTCTTTCCTGTATGCTCTTTCAAATGATAACGAACACCACGATAAGGAGAGATGAAACACGGCATAGTAGTGTATCCGGCATCACACAAGTAATATTTACCTACATGTTATATGCACCAAAATCTGTACATGAGATGTTTTTCCTTTTATAAGTTATCCTATTAGTTTATTAAGAGTATTGCAATAACAAAATTAAAATGTATTTACCATCATACACTTTCAAGCCGTGGGGTTGTGGCATGGACAATGCATCTTGCAGGACCCTATAATCATTTGCTGAACCCTCCCATCCTGCTAATACGTATGTGAATAGCTTGTTAGGTGTACACGCAGCAAGAACATTTTGGGTAACTCCTTTACGACCTCGGAATCGTGCAACAAGGCTAGCAGGTAACATGGCATCAATATGTGTGCCATCTATCATACCAATGCAATCCTATAACGTAAATGAAATACTAAGCTAACATAAAATTGTATTTATTAACTTGAAATATTATTAATTCTATAATATAAAATGATTTACCTTGAAATACGGGTAGTAATAAGGATTGTTAAGAATCTCTTGGGGCACTTCGTTAGGTGCTTGTCT